GTGCGTGCGGGCGTGTGTGTTTGCGTGTGTGTTTGCGTGTGTGTACGTGCGTGCGCGTGTGTGTGTGTGTGTTTGCGTGCATGTGAGTGCGTCCGTGCGAGCATGCGCGCGCGCGTGTATGTGCACGCGTCCCCAGACTATAGCTATGACTAACACTACATAGGTGAGCGTGGACTGCTATATAAGAAAGCTATATAACTAGCGTGTCTGTGGCAATTAGGTACTGGGGCTCAAGGGGTCGTTGTCGTATCGGGTACTACAGATATGTACCCGAGGTACATATATGTATACACAAAGTGTACCAGACTTGTACTACAGAAGTGTACCCTAACCCTAACCCTAACCCAAGCCCTAACACTAACCCTAACCCTTACCCTAACCCTAAACATACCTCATATAAAAATATAAACACAATACTAAACAACCTAAAACTACCTCGGGTACATATCTGTAGTACCTAATACGACAACAACCCCATCTGCGGTACTGGGAGCTCACCGATAGCGTCCAAGCACAGCTGTGTGGCCTGCGTAATGGTAGCAAAACAGCCGGGGTTGTAGTCTGTATAGTAGCCCGTTCCTTTAGCCATCCCGATGCCATAGTTCAGGTAGTGCTGGTTCTCCTCCATGTTTACCGTGTTCCTAGTTTGTTACACTAGAGTGTATATGTAAAATAATTTTGGATTTAGAATAGGAAACGCAGACTACTGAGAGCTGTGTTCAGAAAGACACGTCTAGCCCCGACCTAGCTCTAGTACTATAGCCCGCGTACAGTTGCCGCAGAACTGTACGCGGGCTATAGTACTAGAGCTAGCCCCGCCCACGACTCCAACCGACTTTCCATGCAACGTATTTAAATATTTGAACATGTTATACCCGGTTGGCGTAATCTCATTTATAGCCTATTGCAAAAACTCCTAGTTGGTCTACATCCTATTTGTCTACTCTACACTAACAAGTGCTGCAAAGCGACATTGCTCGTCTAAGGTCTGCTGCTCTACTGTACTGCAAAGAGTCTAAAGCCTGTTTCGTCACTAAAAAAACTGGCCCGCTGCCAAAGTCTTGCTACCGGCGCGTACTCATACAGATTCATGATTACATTATCTCTCTTAATTTCCCCCTCTCTCTCATCCCTTTCTGTAAATATATCTGTGAGTGTGCGTGTGTGCGCGCAAGTATGTGTGTACATGTGACTACGCGTGTGCACACGTATATTTGTGAGTATGCGTGTGTCTGTTCATATGTACATATAATAATAGAATGCATGTATGTATAATAATAGAAGAAATGTAGTCAATGCGTAGTTATCTAGTATCAATGTATAATCATCTGTATGTATATACCTTGAAGACGGTGGAATAACGAGTCCCAGTCGTTCGAAGATTGATCCTCGTAAACTACTTCAATGTCAAACTTTTCTCCATGCTTCTTCCTAAGAAATTCTACAGAAAAAAACATACTATAGCAAGCAAAAATAATGTATATCGGTATACCGATGAATACTGCAATCATGTAATTAATTTACTACTTAAACCTTCTTGGTCTATCTATGTTTTACTTTAGCCGCGGTATTGTTATTATGTCAAAATTCTATCACTGACAAATTCGCATCAACGTATAGGGTGGGTAATAGAAGAGGTGTATTGATAAGTACGCGCTATTGCGATTGAGCAACTGACACCTCATCGATTCTCTGCGCATTCGAACAGCACAACTTAATCTCGTAAGTAAAACTTGGTTGTGGACAGTGGCGGGGACGATGGAGCTATCCTAAGTCTGGGGGTCAACGCAGTACAAAGGCTATATATTTTCATGGTACAGACCGCAGTGGACCGTACGTATATAGGCATTACATCCCACCCAACTCAGCCAATAAGTGCTGGGAGCTAATTTATATAGGATTTGAAAAAAATGTCAGTCTAGGACAGGCTTCCAATGGACAACAAGTTACAGCTGTAATACCTCGAGTCATGGATGTCATAGGCAGGGGCGGATTCAGACCGTATTTGCCGTATGGGGATTTCAAAGTGCCCTTCGAAATTTTGCGCTAAAAATACAGAAAACAATTTGATGGAATTTGGCTAGATTCTTTATTTGTTTTCATTTTCTTCTGATTCATTGACAGGACTTGAAGGAAATCAAAATTTTACATGGTAACAAAACTAGCTTTGATATCTGAAAAAGAAGAGAAGTGCTTGAATCATTCTGCATTAATTGCTGGTATGCAAAGCGCAGGCAAAATGAAGCAGAAATAAATTTCCATAAGGTTTTTAGCTATTGCTGCTTGACTAAATGTGTGCTCAAATGGTGCTGATTTTTGTGCCCAGGGACCCTTGAAATGTTGAAATTTCCTGGGGGAGGCTGGGAATTCGCTTAGTCTGAATTCGTGGGCAACAGTGACTGACTTGACACAGCGTTTGCTGAGAAGCATGTCATCGTAACATCGTTGAAAATTGTTGACATCAAAAAGCGCACGAAAAACTATAATAAAACTGAGATAACCCTAATTACCTCAATGACTACGCCCACCGCATGCCACTCACGATGTTTACTCGGTGACGATGCCCTCGCAAATCCCATTGGTTGATACAAATCACGTGCCTCAAACTCCTCAATGACGCCCCAGTGTATTCAAGGCACATCCATAACACAAAACCCCAATGCCTCGATAGCTGAACGCATAGAGCAGAGACGACACTGCTGAAATGTTGTTGGATCGAATCCCGTCTGTTTTTTAATTATTTTTTTGTTTTCTGTATTTTTCTGTTTATCCATATTACGGTTGGTAGCAAGCAGATGTGTGATATTGTTCGATACAAGCGCACGCACGCACGTGTACGTACGCACGCACGCACGTGTACGTGCACACACACACTCCGCAAACCAACAAAAACGAGCATTTGTATTTATGCTCGCCCTACGTGCATACTCGAAAGGCTTCTGGAATGCCCACAACTGCTCAATTGACCGATTACACCGCTTTATCCTCTACCCATAGGGCACTGTCGGAAATTTTTTTTCAACAGGGCAGCGATTTCAAACAAATGGGCCGCTCCGCGGCGCTGTTCGCGCTTCGCGCGGATATCCGGCTGCAGATCGTCAAGAACTAGCGAAGTAACGTACCACAAGCGACTGTATTGTTAGCCATGTTACAAGTACAACACGTAGCATATACAACTGTAGCATGACAGGAAAGAACACGGGGATAGTGCCGCTCGCCTTATATACCCCGGCGATTCCTGTGCCTGCCATCCGGACATTATCCTGTCACCTCTTGGGTTCTCCAGGAAACGTATCGTAAAATTCTTACCTGATAAGATTGTTTCTCAGCTAGTTCAAAATTAAAAATACCTGGACGATTTGAATTAATGTTCCTGACATGAATTGCTTGCTATGGGCTATGTATGAGTCACGAGTGTATGTTCACATCCAAGAATATAGTAAAATAGGAAGTATAATGCTGCGACAGTGAACATATGAAATGAACAGAATGACTTGTATTTTGTGAAAAAGTGGAAATTAGTTTTAAGGTGTCTATTTAAGGTGACGTAATCACTTTAATTATCAGTCTTATAAATTGTCAGATGAGCATTATAGATATCGTGATGCAATGCTAGATAGTCGTTTAGAATGCTGAAACGCATAGTAGTGGTGTTGGGCTCTGTATGTGCTCGTACAGTGTTTTGCAGTTGTGCACATGTAGGCTGTGCTATTTTTATTTTGTGCAAATTGATCAGGGGATGTTGTGTGTCTTGTGTGACCCCAAACAACGAGTAGCCAACCTCCTTGGAGTATAAACATATAGTACAAACAAGGAGTTTAAACATGTCAATTCCATTCGCATCTCATTCCAGTAGCTTCGTTGATCCGCTTATGTCTGTGTCGGTGTCTTGTGTTCCCGCGGCACATGGGGTAGTTGTTCTTGCTTCTGTGCTGTTTTCCTCAGTTGTGTGTCAAGCATTGCCTGCTGCTGTCCGTGTGCGGCTGTAATATTCGGCTTGCTAATTATCTGAGCTACTTAAAAGTTGCTGTGGAGTGTGTGTGTGCGCGCGCGTGTGTGTGTGTGCGTGTGTATAGTTTGATATTGTAGCAATTTGTAACGTAGTTGTTAGCTGTATCATGTTTACTTTGTTCCAGGACCCCAGAGCCTGTAACGCGTCATCGATTAGACGGAGAGGATAAGTGTCAGCTGTCGTGACTGAGTTCATTCTCCTATAATCAATACAAAGCCTTAATTCTCCTGATTTCTTCTTAACTAACAGTACCCCACTAGACCAAGGGCTCATCGAGGGTCGTATAATGCCATTCTTTAGCAGTTTTTCTACTTCCTGCTGCACCTTCTCCTGCTGATCTAAACTCATTCGATACGGTCGAGTTTTAATCGGTTTATTTTGTCCAGTGTGAACTTGAAAGTGGCAAGGTGTGTGCAACCTAGCTGTGCGTCTGTGTGTGCGAAAGTGGTATCGCGTTTCTCTAAAAATGCGAGCAAAGTTGCCTTCTGATGAGGATCTACTACATGCCGCACAAGCGTAGCATAATCGAAAGGTTTCCCCTCGGCTGTAAGTCGCCGGGGTGGTGAATTTAATCCCTCCCCCACAGAACATACAGCACGCACCTTGTGTGCTATTGTGGGTTCCATTGCATCAACGACAATATCCTTAAGTAAATTCTTTGGTGTGCCTGACTCGTTTTTAAGAACACACTCGACCGTATGATCAGCTGACAGTCTGACACTACTGCCAATGTAGGTGTAATTTTGAGGTGTTGATTTCGGTGGAAAGTCTTAAAAGCTGTCGATCCCTGAACGAATAACAGCGTACCACTCTGAAAACTTCTAGGTACCCGTAATACACACTTGTGCGCGGACTCCGCCGGCAACTTAACAGTTTGCACAAGCATTGCTAATTGCGTGGGTGGTAACCACCCGTGACCGCCGTTCGGCATGCTCAAAGGAACGATGCTGGCGCCTATAATCAGTACACCCACATTAAGATCAACAATGACGTGCGCGTGCGCAAAGAAATCTGCTCCCAACACAAAATCCCACGTTAACCGGCGTACGATATAGCAGTCATGCTCTGCTGTGACTCTCCCTAGCGTAATACTTAGGGAGGTAACTCCAACCATACTCAACTGTTGGCCCGATATTGACACCAGATGGGTGACACACTGCTCTGCCGGCACAAACCTCGCCTTTAAACGTATCCGACGCGACAATCGGTTCCAAGCGTTGTAACTTATAAGCGTGACGTCACTACAAGTATCGACGAGAGCAGACAACATTAAAGGTCCGACTGCAATCGTACAGATGGGCGCACCCTTTCTTTGTGACACGCTAACCTTACGACGTACCGAACCCCCCGTCTCTACTGCCGCGGCTGCGCGTACGATGCGCGAGCGAGCGGGGGGGGAGGAGTTGCGCATTTCCCGGCCAACGATTAGGCTCCCTGCACGCGCGACAATTACGGGCAAAATGCCCTCTCTGCCCACATTGAAAACACATTGTCACGCGTCGCCTCCCGTACCTGTACTCGGCGGCTCGTGACTGGCGGTCTGAAATCTGCCGTCCCAGCTTGTGAGACTGGGCTAGGCAGATAAGCGATATGCCCCTCCCTCATCGTGGGACTCACCCAACGATTCGGGGGGAACGGATTGCCCGCCATTATAGGCCCAACGCGCCGCTTGGCTGTGCATTGCGTGGGCCTTGCTAATTACTGTCGCGGCACCTCTCTGCTTGTGTTAACAGCGAAGATAAGTTACGAATTTCTGCTACGAGTGCTGTATTACTACCCGTTGCTGCTGCGCCTATTTCCATCGGCTCTCCTTGCTCCATGACCCCACCCCTGTCAGATCCATCCATTGCTCTATTGCGTAGTCGCATTGCCAGACCCTCCTCTATGAACGCCTCATCAGCGGCTAATTCAATAGCGTGGGACAGGGTTTGCGGCTTGCGAGCCAAAAGCATCTTTTGGGTGGGGACGGAGATTAGGTTATTTAGAAACGCGTCAGCTAGCCTCTTTTGGACATCATCTGTTCGAATCTTGTCCAACGACATCGCCCGCGTTGCGAGAGATTGCAACCGATCTCCATACTGTCTAATTTGCTTCCCCTTTTGCTGACGAAAGTACTTAAGCTCATACAGCGCTTGCTCCTCCTGTAGGGGATCGGCGAATCGCTTGACCAGCTTAGCACTAAGATCTTTCCAAGCAATCGTAGGTGCTTCTAGCAACGTACGTCTACAAAACTCTGCGGCATGCCCCCCTACCGTCAACAAAGCGAACTGCTTTAACGACGCATCGGGCAAACTTAGCTCGACTTGCGCCCATTCCAAAGCTGTCAGCAAATGTGGGTCCCACTACGGCGCAATCGCCCATAAAACGTGGTATACCCTGTCTGACTTCTAAGACCCGCAAAGCACATTTGAAAGTACTTGCGGCTGTCTCAATAGACGGCTGAAGGGAATTTGTAAACAACTGCGCGAGTTCGTCCAAAGTAAATGGATGGGTGGGTGGGAGAGCCATGCCGTGAGCTTCGTAGTCGCAATAAAAATTAACGTCCGTTCATAACTATACAACTAGCACTACCCATGTACCCCGGGGCGAATGAAGTGACAATAACATTACTCTAGCCACTGATAACCTACGCCGCTTACTTACCTTAACAATTTTTGCCTGTAGATCTGTGTCGAATAGCAGTAGCACTAACACGCGCAGCAGCAGCAGCGTACAGCGCAGCTCAGTAGAAGCTGCGCAGTGGCAGCTGCGTGCTCAGTAGCAGTAACACGCGAGCAACACAAAACCACAATTATTCTGGTCACGGCACCAAATGTAACCTCGGTTAGACAAACAGGATACAGGATGCGCTAAGACATAAAGCAAACAAGAACTAGCAAAGTAACGTACCACAAGCGACTGTATTGTTAGCCATGTTACAAGTACAACACGTAGCGTATACAACTGTAGCGTGACAGGAAAGAACGCGGGGATAGAGAAAGTTGAGTTCCACGTGTCTGAGTGCCGCTCGCCTTATATACCCCGGCGATTCCCGTGCCCGCCATCCGGGCATTATCCTGTCACCTCTTGGGTTCTCCAGGTTCCCGTTCTGCCGACCCCCGTCTTGCGAGGGCCGCATCTCATGATGTCGCATGTTACGTATACTGCTCTCCGCTCTCTAAGTGACAGCCTGTCCGCCGCGTCTCCGCATCACTCGGCAACGTGCTATTAATGAGCTCGAGCGTTATGTATTGTGTGTGTGCGCAATCGGTGTGTGTGTGTGTGTGTGAGTGTGTGTGTGGCGCGCATAGTGAGTGTGTGTGTGTGGCAGTGTGAGTGGTGTGTGTGTGTTGTGTGTGTGGGTGTGGTTGTGTGGAGTGTGTGTGGTGTGTGTGTGTGTGTGTGTGTGTGTGTGTGTGTCTGGTGTGAAGTGTGGTCGTGCTGTTGTGTTGCGCGCGCGCCGTGTGTGTGTGTGCGCGCCGCGGCGCATGGTGTGTGTTGTGTGGCCGCGCGAGCGTGTGGGGGGGGGGGGAGAGGGTGTGTGTTGTGCGGTGTGAGTGTGGGTGTGTGTGTGTCGTGTGTGTGTGTGTGTGTGTGTGTGTATTGTGTGTGTGGGGAGAGGGTTTGGGGTAATCAATCGTTATTACATTATTACAATAAAACAGATAGCATAAACGTCTGATACAATCTGACACACGCACACTAGTAATAATAATAATAATAAATTCTAAAATAAGAATAATAATAATAATCTGATTTTATACTGTGCACTCTGCCTACATACAAAATGTGTGTATACATAGCGCGCGGCATGGTTTAGTGTGTGATTTAATGCATGTGCTCTTCTGATGTTTGAATTTGATAAGGTTGACTCATAAATTATGAACGCTTACGTTGAGCAACGATCTATGAAAAGAATAGCCGCCTTAATAGATAAGTAACGCAAATAACCACCACACCACACACCACACACACACACACACACAACACACACACATCACACACACACACACAGCACACACACACACAAACACACACACCACACACACCACAGCACACACACCACACCACACACACCACAGCACACACACACAACAACAACCTACCTATTTTAATCGCGCTTCATAAACGATTTTAATCGCGATAAACAACCACGTTCTGAGTTCAGCTGAAATTCAATCGCGCGCTTAAAAGACATTTAACGCCGATTTAATAGTATGTGTTGCGCGGTAATGGGCCTTCCATATGTTCCTGCGCGCGCGCCGGGCAGCTGCGGTTTCGTGTGTGTGTGGTGTGTGTGTGTGTGTGTGTGTGTGTGTGTGTGTGTGTGTGGTGTGTGTGTGTGTGCGTGGTGTGTGTGTGTGCTACCATGTGTGTGCGTACGTGCGTGCGTCTGGCCGTATTGCTCCGCTCACTGTGATCAGCTTCCCAGATTGGAAGTATAGATAGTAATCGCTAGCTTCATAGATGAAAGAGAGGAGTTTCTTAAATACATAGTTTTTTTCAATTTCAATTGCGACATCATCGCAATTTTTCTAAAGCGCGATTTCAGCATTGCTCTCTTGGTCAGAGTAATTTTGTATAAAAACACGGGGGATATTTTTATTAATGGTGAGCTTATTTATAATAGTATATGCTGGTATCATGATTCATGAACATATCTATAATAATAGTACATTAAAATTAATGACACCACAGATCAAGCGAGAGGGACAGACGGACAAGGGGATAGCGAATAAGATAGAGAGCGCGCGTGAGAGTTGGAGAGAGAGGGGGCGATCGAGAGAGGAGAGAGAGAAAGAGGACGAGGGCGAGCGAGAGAGAGAGAGCGAAAGTGAGAAAGAGCGAGAGTGGGAGAAAAAGAGAGAGAGAGATTGCGCAAAAGAAAGAGCGAGAGAGAAGCAGAGAGAAAGCGAGAGAGAGAGAGAGGGAGAGAGGGAGAGAAGGAGAGAGAGAGAGAGAGAGAGAGAGAGAGAGAGGGAGGGAGAGAATGAGAAGAAGAGAGAGAGAGAGAGAGGAGAGAGAAGAGAGGAGAGAGAGAGAGAGAGAGAGAGGGAGAGAGCTATTTTGCTGCGGCAAGAACAATCAGTTATTACAGCCGCATTATAATACTAATAGTCAAATCACAATCGCGTTCCGCCATAGCAGCCATCCTCACTGGTTGCTAACACCACACACATGCACACACACACCACACACTCCTCTCTCCACACACTACTCACACTACACTCTCTCTCTCTCTCTCTCTCTCTCTCTCTCTCTCTCTCTCTCTCTCTCTCTCTCTCTCTCTCTCTCGATACGGCACCCGTGGTTATTACTGGACGATTTTTATCATCTGGCGAATGATTCAATAGTCGCTTGAGTTCTCTGTTTCCTTACACGATTTTAGCTCACGGAGAACACGAGTCTTGGTTTTAGGTGTCTCTTAGTTACGCTGAGAGGGTCTATGTCTCCCTGGGTACTGCCGGAACTTACCCTGGTACTATCTAATATGCCGGCCCGTACCTCGCCTACTCCACTAACGAGTCTAGGAAGTCGCCTACGCTTACTCCCTAACCCTAACCCTAACCCTAACTATATCAGATAGTTACCAGGGTACGTTCCGGTATACCGGACCGTACCCAGGGTACGTTCCGGCAGTACTCTGGGGGACATAGACCCTATGCGCCTTAGTTACACGCACGCGTGCACGCACGCACACACGCGCGCGCGCTTGCACACACACTTTAAATAATCGACACAATTTTACGATGTGCATCGGCGAAATTAAACAATCGAATCGTACAGACGTGTGCGAATAAATAAATGCGGATGCGAAACAAGCGACGACTCTCACGACAAGCTGCCTTCCATGGCGCTATGCGCGTATTCCATGCGACCCTTCCAATCGTCTCCATGGCGTTACCACAAACAACACTGCATGGTGTCTGGCTGCACCCAGGCACCATGCTGCACCAGCCTTCATCGGTTACTAGTAGTTTTTCCCTCGCGTCGCGAGTCTAAATATTGGACACTCGATATACTAACTCACTTGACTACCAGATGACTGTCAGTCTACCCTGGGTGGTAGGAACGTCCCCCCCCCCCGGGCAGCAGATCAGCAGCTAGCACGCTGCGAGGATGAGGAGCTAGTTCGCATAGGGTGCAGCCTCGAGCGTCTATACGTAACCTTGTTTACACGAAGAAACCGCTGTAGTAGACCTACTTTCACTTTCGGTAAACCTCGGGCGATTTACAAAAGATCGGCCGAGGTTTACTGAGTGGCAATACCATTAAAACCTATTGTGCATTATTATAATAATAATAATTATTATTATTATTATACGCTTTATGGCAAATCTATCCATGCATGGCTATTACCCGTTTACATGTCACGTTCTAATCATCATGGGATAAGTTATTTACTGTTGCCACGGTCACCATGCAGTGCCCGACTTTCGGGATCATTTTACGTACGATCCGGTCGACGACCATAGTCGACGACAGAAAATCCAAACAGATGCTGCGATAAATCGGTTAGGAGAAATATCGATTTCGCGTTGGCATACGGGCGACATCTTGCGGGAGAAAATGTACCGATACGGGTGGTTCTCGTCCAAGCAGTGCTAGCGCCACCTAGTGAGCAATTTTCCAAACAGACTGCGAGCAACTGCCATATGGTCCGAGGCCGATCGTCGTCATAGTCATCGTCGTCATCGTCATCACCACCATCATCATTGTCGTCGTCGTCGTTATCGTATCCGACGTTGTCACTACCACCACCACCACCACCACCACCACCGCCGCCACCGCCACTGCCACCTACACCGCCACCACCACCACCACCACCACCACCACCACCACCATCACACCACACACCACCCACCACCACCACCAACACCGAACCACCAACACACACACCACACCACACACCACCACCCCACCACCACACCAGCCCACCACTATCACCACCACTCACCACACACCACCACCACCACCGATCAACGCACCCACCACGCAACCACCACCACACACACCCACCACCACCACACACCACCCACACCACACCACCACCACAACACACCACCACACCACCTACTATCACCCCACCACCACACCACCCACTATCACCACCACCACCCCACCCAGCACCACTACCAACACCACATTCATCAATCACCACCATGGACCATTCATCACCACTACCACCACCACCTTACACACCACACCACCACCACAAGCAGCAGCAACAGCAGCAGCAGCAACACGACCACCAACCACCACCACCACACCACTCACCCCCTACCACACACCACAACAACAAACAACAACAACAACAACAAAACAAGCAACAGACAACAAGACAACAACAACAACACAACACAAACAATAACACAACAAACTCACCTGCCACCACACACCACCACCCCACCCCCCACCACACACCACATGTACCACCACCCCACCACCACACGACACCACCAACAAGCACAACACAACAAACAACAACAAGCAGCAACAACGAACAGATCAAACAACAACAACCTTTCACAACCACCACCACCACAGAACAACAAAAACAACAATCGAACAACAACACGAACAACAACAACAACGACACGAACAACAACAAAACAGACACGACGACACAACAACAACAACAACAACAACAAACAACAACAACACCGGCCACAGACACCCCACCCCGCCGCCACCACCACCCCAACCATCACCACCCACCACCAGCCACCACCACCACCACCACACCGACCATCCCACCATCATTATTCACACCACCCCGACAATACCACCACCACCCACACACACACCACCCCACACACCACACCACACCCACCACCTACCACCACAACACCACCCAACACACCACCACCACCACCACCACCTACACACACACCACCGACCCACCAACCACGACCACCACATACACACCACACACAACCCACCCACTACACCACACTACCACACCACTCACCACCCACCACCACCACGACCACACACACCACCACCAACCCACCCCACCCACCACACCGACCACACACCACCACACCACACCCACGCGACCACCACACACCACCACCACCACACACCACAAACCACCACACCAACCATCACCACTACAAACAACCCCACCACCATCCAACCACCACCACCCAC